TTTCTAATTATTAGTTATTTTTCATGTTCTATTACTACTTTTGTTGAAAGCGAATAAGTTCAACTTGAAAGGAATTGCTAAGTTTCCTAATCTTAAAAAAATTTATTTGCATTCAATCTATTCCGATTTTTCATTTTTGTAGTTTGATCTTTGAAGAGGTCGAGTCTTCATCTACTGGCGATTTACTGAGTTCTTTCTTGCTGCAATTTTATTTATACCCTCAAATGGTAATGTATGTCGATTTCAGATTTGCTTCAGTTTAGGGTTCTTTCTTCCGGTTGCTAAAGATTTTTAGATGTGGAAGGTTTATATAATTTGTGGGTTTTTTATATTTTTGTTTGATTTGCAGTTGGAATTGGGATTATGGTTGCTGTTAAACCAGAGGATAAAATTACACCCCCGGTATAATTAATTTACATGTTTATAATTAATTTACATGTTTATTCGTAGTTTTGAGATCCCTTAACAGGTCTAAGATTTTAGGCCCAGATGGAAGCCTTTAGTGGGCGAGTCCTGAGGCACACATCGGAGGTAGTGATGCTGATGATGCTTGATTTACCCTTAATATCTCCATTTATACTTCAAATCCCCCCTCTCTCTGCAAACAGAAGACATTCTTCTTCTTCTTGAACATCTGATCAATTCATGAAATTGAAATTCAAAAGCTGTCAAAAGCTTGCTTATTCTCATGTATCATCATATTCACTGTAAATATTCAATAATTCAAATAATAATATCTAACTTTGTAATATGTTATTTTTACATTTGACAGAGTTGATGCCACGAGTTGTTGGGTTTTTTAGCTGGATGAGTTGTTTCTTTATTTACTGTCAATGTCAATTTCACCGCTTTATCAATTCATGTGCTCCGCCCAACTTCAACCGGCTTTGTCGTGGCTACAAGGTCGGCAAAAATTAGAGGTAGGAAACGATGTGGGTTTCTTTTTTGTTATAAGCCTAATTCAATCATTTGCCTTCCCTTCCCTTATCTTTACTTTATTATCTGCACTTTTCTCCAATGTCCACCGCTTCATCAGTACATGTGCTCTGCCCAACTTCAACAGGCTCTATCGTGGCTACAAGGTCGGCAAAAATTAGAGGTAGGAAATGATGTGGGTTTCTGTTTTTTTACAAGCCTAATTCAATCATTTGCCTTCCCTTCCCTTACGTTTACTTTATTAATTGTAGAGGGTGAAGAAAGATATCATTGAGAACAAAAGAAAAAGGTGAAGAACAAGTATCTGACCATCTTTATATTTGGATACCACTTCAAATAATAAAAATCATAAAAACAGATGTGGGAAAAGGGGTAGTAGGACACTTACGCTTGGAGAAATTGTTTTGGCTATAATATAAGGTAAGACAGGCAATCTTTATTTGAAATTTTTTTTTTTTTTGATAGGTAATTTGAAAAATTGTTTTAGCTATATACTTTCGTCTGTTATGATTTAACCGTTTCATTCCTAATCTCATATTTAAGATTTCCATAAAATACAAAGGAGTTTATAAGTGATATCAATTTACTTAGAATTGATACGGTAATTAATTGTTCTAACTTCTATTTTCATTTTTCAACTACGGTATAAATTCAGTTAGAAGTTAGTTTCAATTGTTTATAGTTCTGGAATTAAACTATTTTAATTCAATTGTGTTGGGATGATAAGAAAACCAACAAAACCACCTGAATTAGAAACTGTTGGAAGAGAAAGGCAGTTAAAGAAATGGATTTCATTTCGTAAGCATATGTGTAATATACTTTGATTAGTAGAGAAGACGATGAAAATTGCAATCCTTTATTGTGAAATTGCAACTAAAAGGGGCGAGTGATGTTCTCATCCACCAGTCAACCTTCCAGAAAATTGGGTCACAAAAATAGATTTCCAAAAACCATATGTATATGATTGGTTCGCCTATATTCTAAATCAGAACTTTAATATCCATTTGGGCTTTCAAAACATCTTTTGGATCTTTCTCGTTTATGATTTAAAGTTGAAGCAGGTAATTTGGCTAATATTATGTGGCTTGACATGTCTTTATAATCTTTCTGTAGGTGCATCATGTTGCTTTCTTGAATATTAGTTTCCATCGATATTTTGTCCAACTTGTTAATTTTTAAATCTTCTTTCTCTTTCTTAGGGTCTGTCTGCCTCAGCTTTTCAGCTCAATTTTAATCTATAAATTGACCGTTGCGCCGCATTGATATACCATTCATCTCACAGACGAGACCCACGTACAGGAAAATAACGGTCAGAATTTTGCTTTTAATCTCCTCCAGACATAGCCTTAGTTTTATTGGCTATATACCTGAATGGGAAAAGAAAGCTAATGAACAAAAATGCTTTTCGGTTCTTGAAATTCTTCCCTACTTGTCATGTTTGCATTTTTCCCATTTTCCTTGTTATTTTATTTGTTTTTTTAAAGCTAATTTCCGTATTTGATCTTACTCCTTTTGTAATTTTATCTAATTTATTATCCTTTGCGTTTTAGTCATTTCATTTTACACGTTTGCTAAGGGATGCAAATGAGATGATGGTACCGGGTTTGATATTCATGTGGCCGATCTGAAGTTGGAACAATTCTATGCATTCATTGTTGCCTCTGCCATATTTGGTACTACTGGATCTCTGCAAAATGCTAACATATTTTGTGATGTTTCTTCATATGCTTAGCTCTTGTTTCTTGATTGTTTTTTATCCAACTTCCTTGTATAATTACAACTTATAATTTGCTTGTCTTAGTTTAAGAGGTCTCTAAATTCTTCTGTGTAGGGAACATGCTATGATATACTGGAGTTCAAGCGAATGATGGTATGTAATATGTATGCTATTATTTTATTTTTCATTTTTCTTTTCCTTTATGATTGTTTCATATTGCTGGAATGTGATCAATGAGGAGATATTTGTGCAGGTTATTTCTGTCCTGCCCTTTCCAAAGCTGTTAAGACAATGAAAAAGGGAGAAAAAGTCTTCTTGACTGTAAAACCTCAATGTAAGTGTAAAAACAACACCCTCAGCTGATGTTTTAGTAGGCTTTAGACCTGTACATTTTCGTTTCGTTTTCTTCTGATTGCACCCTAATTGAAAGAGCTTATATTCTGCCCTCTTTCACAGAAATTTTTGCAGGTAGGAGCCCGTTTGCAGATGTTAATTGGAATATCTATCAGTGTGAAATTAGTAGAACAAGAATTGTGGCAGAGAGAAGAGAAAGATTAATTGGTATTCTTTCAGTTCGTGATTATATTGGATATGTCTTTTCTTTTATTCATTTAAAATACAGATATATAACAGCCAAATAATGTAATTATTTAGATACGGTGGAAAGCCCTAAGATTTCAAATTTTTTCCCCTGGATAATGGCTTTCTTTTCCTTCTTAGCAAATTTCTGGATTTTTTTGCACGCTAACATTACTTCCGTAATCACATTGCACGTGCATTATTCTTAGCAAATTTCTGGATTTTTTTGAACGCTAACATTACTTCCGTAATCACATTGCTCGTGCAAAATGCACGGGCAATAGACTAGTAGTACCAAAAAGATCAAATTCCTCATAAATTTCGAGCACATGAGCATTGGCTTGCTTTGGAGGTCTAAATCCTCGAAAATGGCTGAGGAGATAAGAGCATCCGTGGCTGCAACCACCGCCACCAATACAAAGAAACGATCTTTATGGCCGGCCCTCCTCCGATGGATTCCCACATCAACCGATCACATCATCGCCGCCGAAAAACGCCTTCTCTCTCTCCTCAAGCAAGAATTAAAACACTATTCACGTTTTTTCCATTTTACATTAGTGATGTTCGATAACTCATAGTTATTTGATTTTTATGTTTTTAAGGACGCCTTACGAGACAGAGCAGGTTAATATTGGCTCGGGTCCGCCAGGTTCGAAAATTAGTTGGTTTCGATCGGTGAGTAATGAGCCGAGGTTCATTAATACGGTTAGTTTTGATAGCAAAGAAGGGTCTCCCACGCTTGTTATGGTCCACGGATATGGTGCTTCTCAAGGCTTCTTTTTCCGGAATTTCGACGCCCTTGCCCAGCATTTTAAAGTCATTGCAATTGATCAACTTGGGTAACTTCAATATCCTTTTTTGTATAATTTATATTGTCGTGATTGGGGATTGATTTTGATATTGGTTCTGTTCCTGTGGTGAAATATTCTTGTTTACCAGGTGTTATCTTCCATTTTGAACCTGCATTTTGATATGATTCTGATTCTTTGTTTAATTATAAATGGGAGTTAGGCTCTCTTATATGCTCAAATGTATGATCATTAATTTTCCAAGAAAATAAAGATTTCAACTTATTGTTTGTCTCAAATTTTTCGGTTTAAGAAGCAAGATAATTAGGGCTGAAGAATAATGCGGAAATAATGTTTTGCAGTGTACAGTGTACTCATCTTTTTTGCTACCTTTTGTTTCTTGGTGCAGTTGGGGTGGTTCTAGTAGGCCTGATTTCACATGTAAAAGTACTGAAGGTTCGTTCTAATATGGTTTACGTCCCAAAAATCACTTTTTTTGCTGGTATGTGTTGGCATCAGTTTGTTAGTCTTCTAATTCTTTGTTTCCTAAGTTTTCGTCCAACAGATTTGTTAATAAAGCCCTATTCTTTAGGGACTTCAGTTTAGATTTCTTCTTCCAACTAGTCACCACGTTGTAGGCCGTGTAAAACGTGGTTCCTGTTACTGCTTTGATTTCTTCGTATTGTAAGGCTATAAAGCCAACAGTTTGCTTTGAATAAAGTGAGTGATTTCTTCAGCAAATCAGTTTAGTGTGACTGAGTTCTTGGAGTTCAACAATTGGTATCAGAGCCACCGAATAGGGCCTGATAAGGAGTGTGAGAGAAGTTTTTGAGTGAAACACAGAGATTGAGAGGGAGAGAAACAGAAACACAAAGTGATTGTGTGTGAAGTTTTTTTTAGATGTCGACCTCACAAACAAAATTTAAGATAATTTCCTCCTAAAACTCTTTTATAAGAAGCAAAAATCATGTCAAACAAGCCCTACATATTTACATTATCGTTTGGTACTGCTGGGCCTATAGACAGCTCTTGTTTGGGTTGGACTAGGACCATAATGAGCCGTCATGGGTTGGGCTTGACTAGTTTGACGCTTGTTTATGATTCTATTAGATGAAATTGGACGATGTACCCTAACAATAAGGTCATTTTGAAAAATCATATGAAAAGTAATTACAAAGTATAAAATACTATGAGTATGTTTGAGTCTCATTTTTTTCCAAAAATGTATTTTGAAATAGTGATTTAATGGAGAATAAGTGTTAAAAAATAAGAAAAAAAATTGAATTTGCGTGTAATATTATTTTATTGAGAATTATGTAGTTAAAAATAAGAGATAAAAAATATATTTTGAACATAAAGGGAACCAAACAAGAGCTATATATTTCCATTAATTCTATAAATAAACCCCCTAATGCTCTTATTTTCTATTTTTTCTCTCTTTTTCTTTCTCTATACCTCATTCCTATCTAGAATAATGCAGTGAGATTTTTGCATAATTTCAAAGACACCAATAGAACTTGCAATAGACTTCATTCTTATCATCGGAACACGCAGTGGAAATCATGTTGAGAACGACGCTGCTACTATCAATGAACTGAGTGTTGGGTTTTGATACCCAATAAATCCGGGCGATGATGTTAAATCGGTTTATTGGATTATACTTCATAGGTTTCGACCGATGAGTAAAGTGAAATGTCGACACCACAATCGAACAAACCATTCCTACAACTTTTTCGGACTATTTGAAGTAACCTAATTACATTAGCGTTGCTCATAGTCCCACTCATTACCTTGGAAGGCTTTTCGGTGGTAGCCCTATTATTTCCTATTGAGCCTAACTAAGTTCTAACCTAAAAGTCCACACTTGGTACCTATATATACTTTGCCCTAGTTGAGGTGTGTGAAATTGGGAGAAGCCGTTTCCATTGAGAAGAGAAAATCGATTCACTTGTTTGCTCTGTGCTTTGGCTTTGTGCCTTTTAATGATCCATTTTCTCCCTCCTTCTTTAGCCTTGGTGGCTGAACATTGAGGATACCTTCTTCACACAGAACCCTTTGTGGGTAAACCCGTGAGCAACCAGTTGGGACGTTGGTTTGGGATTGGTTTTGTTGACTGTGGTGGTTGATTGGAAGAAACTGAGCCCGAATCTTGTGTAGATTGGAATCAATATTTTCAACATTTGGTATCAGAGCCAGGTTTGGTGGTGGATTTTTGGCCAGAAAATTCCTAGAAACGCAGCAGAATTCCGGCAGAAATTGAAGCAGAAAAGCAGTCCAATTTTTTTTGCTAAAATCGGACCTGCAATTGAGTTTTCCGGCAAATCCATAGACCTGGTGGAGAAACGGACACCACTGGTGAAACCTGCAGGTGGAGGCACTGCTAGAGGTCCGGTGTATGGGTAGTCCGATGGTGGTACGTGGCGGAGCGTCTGGCAGTTTCAGGCAACGGTTGCTTCAGGCAGTTTGTTTATTTTGATTTCCTAAACGTACTGATATATTTTTCGTGTTTCCAGCTTAACAGAAACATTTGGACGATTTTGCCCTTTGTGGGTTCGATAGTCGAAATTGCAAAACATTTACTGAATTACTTTAGGCCAAAAATTGCGGCCCTGAAGCAGTAAATTCGCATCTCTCGTAATTTACGGACTCAGATAGGTCATCTCTGGTAAATTGGCTTATCTCGTTTAAATTTCAACATTAGCG